ACAGCCCAATATCTATTTTGGAAAATATTTCATGTACATTTGAAGATAACGTGTATTCTGCAATTATTGGGTATAGTGTTTTGTATATGTCATTTACATCAAGTTGGGTAACAGTGTGGTTCAAATCTTTTATATTTTTACTGAATTTTTACCTCTTGTTCTTCAATTACTGAGATACTTGGGTTAAGATTCGCATCTATGGTGGCGAATTTGTCTATTCCTTCTGGTAGTTCTGTTATTAGATGAATATAATTTAAGATTATTGTATCTTCCTGTTGAATCACATAATATAATAAAATGCTCCTCACGATCTCTTGATACTTCTTGCATTGGAGTCCATTTTGTCTGGTGTTAATACAGCTGTACTGCTTTCTTTTGGTTAGGGCTTGTGTGATATAACTTTTTCTGTTCTTTCATTTTCAGTGTATTTCTTTTCTTAAGAAAAAGCATTTGAAGTGCACTTTCATTTTTTCAACATAGAAACATTTTGCTCTTTGTATCCAATCTGACAATCTCTTATCTTTTCTTTGAAGGGTTTAGCCCATGTACAATTAATATACTTGCTGATACAATTGAGTTAAATTCTATCTTGTTATTTGTTTCTTATTTGTTCCTTGTGACTTTTTTCTTTCTCCCCACCCCACCCCTCCCCGAGATGGGGTCTTACTCTGTCACTCAGGCTTGAGTGCAGTATCATGATTATGGCTTACTGCAGCCTTGACCTGGACTCAGGTGATCCTCGTCCCTCAGCCTCCCAAGTAGCTGGGACTACAGGCATGTGCCATCATGCTCAGCTAATGTTTGTATTTTTTGTAGAAATGAGGTTTTGCCATGTTGCCCGGGCTGGTTTGAACTCGTGGGCTCAAGCAATCCAGCTGCCTCAGCCTCCCAAAATGCTAGGATTATAGGCATGAGCCACCACACCTGGCATCTTTGTGACTTTATATCTGGTGTTTTTTTTTTTTTTTTTTTTTTTTTTTTTTGGTCTTCTTTTGAATCAATCAAGTAGTTTTGATTTATTTTTCTCTATTAACTTCTTAGTTTTAACTTCTCTATTAGTTTTAACTTTCTCTATTAACTTCTTAGTCTTATTTTGATAATAGTTACCTTAAAGATGTCACTATACATCTCTGACCAACTACAGTCTACCTTGAGTTACTATTTTTATCACTTCCCAAACAATTGAAGAACCAGTGCTACAATTCTATGGTTTAACTCCATTAACTCCTCTTATCCTTTATACTAGCGTAATGTCTGTTTGCTTCTATACATATTATAATGGCAGCAAAACATTAGTGTTACTTTCTTTTAAACAGTAAAAATGATTTTATAACCATCCCGTATTTATTCTCTCTGGTGCTCTTTATTTTTTCCTTTAGTTCTATCTCACTGAACATTTAAAAAGTTCCCTTGAGTCTTTCTTGTAGTGATTATCAACTGGAGTTGAATTTCTCAGCTTCTATTTGTTCAAAAATGTCTATTTTACCTGCATTTGTGAAGGATACTTTTGCTGGGCATATAATTCCAGGTTGGTTTTTGTTTTTTAATCTGGGCACTTTAAAGATGTGCTGCCCATTGTCTGTTGGCATCCATAGTTTCTCTTCAAAAGTAATTGTCAGTCTTCTTATTACTACTTGGAAGGTTATGTATTTTTCCCTAGGGCTGCTTTTATGGTTTCTTCTTTGTCTTTGGTTTTCAGCAGTTTAAGATGGGCTAGATCTTTCTTTATATTTATCCCTAAAGTGACCTACAAGGTTGCACATAATCAAGCTCCTCTTATCCTTACAACTTTTGTCTCCCATTCTTCTCTTGCTGTGTTGCAACCACCCTGGCCTTTTTCCATGCCTTGAACACACACTGGTCATATTCCACCTCAGGACCTTTGCACTGGACATTTCTTCTGCCTAGGATAATCTTCCCCCAAATAGTTACATGACTAACTCACATTCCTCCTTGAAGTCTTTCCTCAAAAGTCACCTTCTCAATGAGGTTTTCCAGGACTATACTACGTAAACGGCAGCCTGTTCCCCATCACCAACACCAACTGACATGATTTCCATGGCACTTTTCAGCTTTTAACATGCCATGTAAGTTATTTATACGTTTATTTTTATTATCTGCCTCTTCCACTTCGCTAGAGGGTAAGCTCCACAAGGGCAGGAATTTTTATGTTTTGTTCACTAATGTATGCATCTCAAGCACATGGAAACTTGCCTGACAGCTAGAGAAGGCTAAATAAAAACTTGCTTATGACTGTTCAATTTAAGGGTAGCAGACATTTGCATTCACTGTTAGAGAACAGAACAAGGACTTTGCTCCTGCATTTGTGATTCACAGGACATCAAATCATGCACACATTCTGATCCAGGTTGGGAAGCCTGGTGCACAAGTCCCCACTGACCAGCTTGCAACATAGCCTCTTCTGCACTTTAATCGAAATCCCTTCAAGACTGAGCGTGGTGGCTCACACCTGTAAACCCAGCACTCTGGGAGGCTGAGGTGAGTGGATCACCTAAGGTCCCAAGTTTGAGACCAGCCTAGCCAACATGGTGAAACCTCATCTATACTAAAAATACAAACATTAGCTGGGCATGGTGGTGAGCACCTATAATCCTAGCTACTCAGGAGGCTGAGGCAGGAGAATCACTTGAACCCTGAAGGTGGAAGTTACAGTGAGCCAGGATCGTGCCACTGCATTCCAGCCTGGGTGATGAGAGAGAAACTCCGTCTCAAAAAAAAATCCCTTCAGTGTGGCTCATGTCATTCTAGTCTGAGAAGGGACAGCAATCTGATTAAACCAATGCACACGAAGATGCAAGTGACTGGTAGTCTTTAACAATTTCTTTTTTTTGTTTGTTTGTTTTGTTTTTTGAAGATGGGGTTTCACCATGATGGCCAGGCTGGTCTTGAACTCCTGACCTCAGGTGATCCACCCACCTCGGCCTCCCAAAGTGCTCAGGGGCTTTTAAAGGAGCACCTTGTTCATTTACTGGGTTTACACCTGACAAAAGCAATTTGCCACAGCAAACAGCATCAGGATGTACAGCTCATAGTTCAGGGTTTAAACTCTCAGTTCTGCCATTTGTTGCCTTTCTCCTTAGACAACCTCTCCTGCCTACCACTGTTTCGCTCTGCTTTCTCCTCTGAAAAACAGGGATAGAAATTTTTGTCTTAATGCACCTCAAGGACTCAAAAAATACAATAGGTTAAGGAACTTCAGAGTTAAAAGGGACCCTAGAGGTCATCTGGGAATTTTTATTTTTGTTTTTAGGCAATTCTTTACAACTTTCACTTTCAATGACACTCTCTCATGGTAATCTCAGAACAACCATGTCAAATAGGAGACAGGTCATCCATCCCTTTTTACAGGAAAGAAGCAAGTTCAGAGAGGCCAAGGCTCTGTGGCAAGTTAGTGGCAGAGCTGGGGGCAGTGGTTTTTTGTTCTTCAGAACTGCTCCTGTGGCCCCTGCCAGAGGCTCCTCTAATTGGATCTTTCTTTCTTTTCTTTTTCTTTTTTCTTTTTTTTTTTTGAGACGGAGCGCTCTTGTTACCCAGGCTGGAGTGCAATGGTGCAATCTCGGCTCACCGCAACCTCCGCCTCCTGGGTTCGGGCAATTCTCCTGCCTCAGCCTCCTGAGTAGCTTGGATTACAGGCATGTGCCACCATGCCCAGCTACTTTTTTGTATTTTTAGTAGAGACGGGGTTTCACCATGTTGACCAGGATGGTCACGATCTCTTGACCTTGTGAGCCACCCGCCTCGGCCTCCCAAAGTGCTGGGATTACAGGCTTGAGCCACCGCGCCCGGCCAATTGGCTCTTTCTTACACATCCCCATCACCTGGGGAGCTCAAGCTCACTGCCATCCAAGACAGCCCATTCTTCAGCAGGGTGGCTTTGATAGCTGGCTGCCATTTGCGGTGGTACAGAATGTGTTACATTGAGAAGTAATTTTTAGGGCTGTCACCCTAATGTGTGTTTGGGGGGCAGAGCGTTTGCAGAAATATTCAGAGAACATACAGAGACAGCCAGAATGACAATAATAGTAACAATGCCAATTTGATGGTGTCACATCCCTGTTTGCAACCCTTCAGTGGCTTCCTGGTTCCCTAAGAGTGAGTCCCGACTCCTTCATGTGCCCGCCATAAGCTGGGTCCAGCCTCAAACTACCTCTCCATGCACACTCATCTCGCCACCCCACCCTGGCCATCCTGACTCCTGTTTGCTTTGCCTGGAATACCCTCACCTCCTCCCCACCCCCACTGGCTCCGACAGGCCTCTGTACTCCCCGTGAAGGCCCTAGACACTGCTGAATTGTACTTACCCATCTCCCCAGCCAGACTGTGAGCTGGGAAGGGGCAGGGGCTGCATGGGGTTCCTCTGCCCTGGTGCCCAGCATGGAGATCAGCACAGAATAAGTGATTGCCACATCCTTGCACATTTGCAAATGTCTCTGCAGCTCTCATAATCCAGACCAGGAGAGGGTTAAACAATCATGCTGGCCTAGGATTAACTTTGGCATTAGAGAGGGAGGTGCCCAGGATTTACCAGACGCTTGGAAACCTGTTCTCAGCTCAGCTAAGAGACTCCAGCCAGCCAGGTGGTCCCTAGAGCTGACCTGTGCTGCTCCATGGGCCCTGAGCTGAGCTGCTGGGGGTGGGAGAGGGGGGTATGTGGAGGGAGTAGAAAAAGCTTGGTCCTGTGCGGGCTAGCTCTGTGCCCTTAGTTGTGTCCTTCTTATCTGCTTGGTTATCCCCATCTGGGCACAAAGGAGGCCGGTCTGGGTGGTCCCAGGCATACCTCTTGTGAGGACTGGACAAGAGCAAGGATCCTCAGACTCCAGAACCCCCTAGCTAGGGGTCCCCTAGCTTGGGAGAGACTTTCTCCACCGCAGGGGTGGGGAAGGGTAAATCTTTAACAAGCTAGCCCTGGGCAGGCCGGAGCCTTTCCGGATGAATGACTGCCTGGGATGGGGGGTGGGGGTGGGAATGCAAGATGTGGGTGGACAGTCCCAATGTTGCGGAGAAGGGAGGGTATTGGGGAGGGAAAGAAAAGATACGCGGGCGGAGCTAACTCCGTGTGCAGAGCAAGACATGGAGGAACGCGGGTCGCCCGACGGGTAAGCAGATCTTCAGAGAGGTTCGTTAGGGGAGCCCTGAACAGCCGTTAGGTGCAGGTACGGTAACTCGCATTGCTGCCCACAGGGACCCCGCGCGGAGCCTGGAGCAGGGGCCAGAGGGGCCGGAAACGCCCATCCAGGTGGTGCTCAGGTGGGTACAGGTTGGCTAGGAGGCACCTGGGCGAGGCAGGGATCGATGAAGACATCAGGATGTATCATGTGCCCTTCTGTCGGACCCCAGGGTACGTCCCATGAGCGCGGCCGAGCTGCGTCGAGGGCAGCAGAGCGTGCTGCACTGCTCAGGGACCCGGACTCTGCAGGTGAGGAGCCCCTTTCTCTATCTCCACAACTAAAAATCCCGGGGACGCCAAGTCCCTTCCCCCCCCAGCAATTTTGCCCTAGGCCCCGCCCTCCCCTGGAGTGTTTCGCCCCCAGGTGCCCCACCCTCCCCAGAGTGCCTCTTCCTTCTAGGATGCCCAGCCCTCCCCCTGGGTGCGCCGCGTCAGCCCCTCCTAGTGCCGCGCCCCTTCTGAGTGTCGGCCCACCGAAGGTGCCCGCCCTCCCCCAGAATGCCCCGCCCCTCCAGGGTGTCTCGCAATCCCCAGAATGCCCCGTCCCTTCTGAGTGTCCATCCACCCAGGGTGCCTACCCACCCACTGAGTGCCACAGCGAGCAACCTACCCTCCTCCAGGGTGCCCCCTACGGTGCTCCGCCCCTCCACGGTGCCCTACCCTCCTCCAGGGTGCCCCTCCCTCCTTCAGGTTGCCCCGCCCCTCCACGGTGCCCCGCCCCCTCCACGGTGCCCCGCCCCCTCCACGGTGCCCCGCCCCCTCCACGGTGCCCCGACCCCTCCACGGTGCCCCGCCCCCTCCACGGTGCCCCTCCCTCCTTCAGGTTGCCCCGCCCCCCCACGGTGCCCTGCCCCCTCCACGGTGCCCCTCCCTCCTTCAGGTTGCCCCGCCCCCCCACGGTGCCCTGCCCCCTCCACGGTGCCCCTCCCTCCTCCAGGTTACTCCGCCCCCCACGGTGCCCCGCCCCCTCCATGGTGCCCTACCCTCCTCCACGGTGCCCCTCCCTCCTTCAGGTTGCCCCGCCCCCTTCGCGGTACTCCACCCTCCTCCAGAGTGCCCCGCTCCTCCTCCCACCCTCCAGGTAAGCCCCCCAGGCGGGGGTCCCGAAGTGGCGTTCCACTTCGGTGCGGTGCTAGACGGGGCTCGCACGCAGGAGGACGTGTTCCGGGCGTGCGGCGTGCGGCGCCTGGGCGAGCTGGCGTTGCGTGGGTGAGTGAAGTTTCGCCTCCACTTCTCGCCCGGCCTGGCGGGGTCCCAACAAACCCCCAGTCCCCACCCCGGCCCGCCGCCAGGGTCCAGCCACGCCCTTGCGCCTGCAGCTTCTCCTGCACTGTCTTCACCTTTGGCCAGACGGGCTCCGGGAAGACCTACACCCTGACTGGACCCCCTCCCCAGGTGGGCGAGCGCCGGCGGAGACCCCGCGGGGCCGGGCTGGGTGGGCTGGAAGCCCCGGGAGCCGCAGGAGGCGCAGACCCCCAGAGGGAGGGGACTGGGACGATGCAACCTGGCCCATTTATTTGCAGACAAGGACTAGAGAGAAGGGACTTGCCCAGTTTGGAGCATTTGGGGTTCAACTTTGGCCCCTTCCTAGCCTTCAGTTTCCTCATCTGTAAAATGGAAGTGACAGTACCGACTATGAATTAAATGAGCCATTGAGTGGGAACTTGGCGCGTTTCCCCGGGCACAGTATCATACATGCCCTACAGAGGCTAGTCATTACTCTGGCGATAACGAGGGCTCAGCTGGTTTTGCCCCCAGGGGGAGGGGGTGCCAGTACCCCCCAGCCTGGCTGGCATCATGCAGAGGACCTTCGCCTGGCTGTTAGACCGTGTGCAGCACCTGGGTGCCCCTGTCACTCTTCGCGCCTCTTATCTGGAGATCTACAATGAGCAGGTAAGGGAATTCAAGGAATAGAAAGACACCCCACTGCTTCTTTCCAGGGAGCCTGGGTCAAAGGGCAGAAGGGGCGGTAGGGACTGTTGTCAGTAAGATCTGGGGGTTGGTAGACTCAGAGAGATCCCCTTCCCTCTCCCTTCTTCCTCCACTCCCAGGTTCGGGACCTGCTGAGCCTGGGGTCTCCCCGGCCTCTCCCTGTTCGCTGGAACAAAACTCGGGGCTTCTATGCGGAGCAGCTGCGGGTGGTGGAATTTGGGAGTCTGGAGGCCCTGATGGAACTTTTGCAAATGGGTGCGTGCTGACAGCGGGGAGTTTTGCGGGTGGGGGTGCCCATTCCTCAACTGTTCACTGAATGTGGACTTGGTGCTCAGGTTGCAGCTGCGATTTCAGAAATGACTCCTGGGGGAGGTGGGGAAGGATCATAAACTGCAATTCAAAGGCATGACCCAAGGGTACCGACTCCTCCCACTGCCACCAAGGCCTGCTGATTCTGCCTTCCAGACTCCTTTCAGGCCTCCTCCTCTCCAGCTCAGGGCCTCGGCCGCAGCCAGGCCTCATTCTCGCTCTCTGGTGGTCTCTGCACCTCAAGGCTCTCCCCTGCCAATCCATTCTCCTCTGTGCTGCAAACCCCACCTCTCTTTGCCTCCAGATCCTCCACCCTTCCAAGGCCCCCAGGATCAAGGTCACACCTCTTAGCCTAGCCTAAAGGCCCTTCCCTTTCAGCCTCATCCTTTTTTAAAAAATCAAGTATTTATTGGGCATTCCTCTTTTGGCGAGCACTGGAGCTTCGGACTGTGGATTCTGGCCCCAGCACTGTGCCACACCTCAGCAGAGCTCACTGCCTCAGTTTCTCCCCCTCCTTTCACGAAGCAGTGGGAGAGATGTTCATAAAATGCAAATCTGAGTGTCATTCTGCTCAGTTTTCTCTATCCTCCATCCACCCATCTCTGCTAGAGCTGGACCCAACATCATTCCCAGAACAAAACCCACTTTGTTTGCATGCGACTGACCCCTCCACCAGGATTCCTTTGCTCCTTTTTCTTCATTGGCGATGACCTGTTCTTCCTGCCAGGTCCAGCTCCTAATGTTTTTTCCTTCCAGGTCTCAGCCGTCGAAGGAGCTCAGCACACGCCCTGAACCAGGCCTCCAGCCGAAGCCATGCCCTGCTCACCCTGTACATCAGCCGCCAAGCTGTGAGTGTCCCAGCCTGGGAAAGTGCTCGCCCAGGGCCACCCAGCAAGGGTCTGTATCTGGACATACAAGCCAACTTGGGCATGCGCTGGGGGGGTAATAGTGGAAACCCTTGGCCCTGTCACCAACCTTGTGGCTTTGATGGGGACGTTCCCTCCCTAGTCTGCATGAAGCCCTGATCCCTCAGGCCCAGCAGATGCCTCCTGTGGAGCCTGGGGAGCCCCCTGTTGGTGGGAAGCTGTGCTTTGTGGACCTGGCAGGCAGCGAGAAGGTAGCAGCCTCGGGATCCCGTGGGGAGCTGATGCTGGAGGCCAACAGCATCAACCGAAGTCTGCTGGCCCTGGGTGAGACCTGGGGGCCGCCAGTGTGATTTCCTGTCTCTCCTCTGTGCCTAGCTCACAGCTATCCACAGCGGGGGATACCAGAGGAGTTGTAGTACATAGAAGAGGGTTAAAGAACTGCAATCCAGGCCGGGCATGGTGGCTCACACCTATAATCCTAGCACTTTGGAAGGCTGAGGTGGGCAGATCACCTGCGGTCAGGAGTTTGAGACCAGCCTGGCCAACATGGTGAAACCTTTCTCTACTAAAAATACTAAAGAAACAAAAATTAGCTGGGTGTGGTGGCAGGCGCCTGTAATCTCAGCCTATTTGGGACACTGAGGCAGGAGAATTGCTTGAACTCGGGAGGCAGAGGAAGGTTGCAGCGAGCCGAGATAGTGCCATTGCACTCCAGCCTAGGCAACAAAAGTGAGACTTCGTCCCATAAAAAAAGAGAGCTGTGATCCAGGAACCAGAGGCCTCATTCTGGCCCCAGCTCTGCTGTTAACTTCTCCCTTCATAAAACTGATTATGAATCTATAAACTCTGAGGGTGTATAAAATTACATGCTAATTTGGGAAACAACCACTCATCTGCACAGGATGAACCCTCAGAGACATTTGGCGTGTCGCTTGTCCAGTTGGGAAGACTGAGGCCCAGGAAGGGGAAGGGACTAGATCTTTCTCCCCCTCCTCATCCCAGGGTACCGGCCCTGGAGATCCTCAGGGGCTAGGCCCTCAGCAGTCCTCTGTGGCATGTGTGGGAGATGCCCACAAAACTCCTTTGTGTTCAGTCCATTTGTTACAAGTTTCCTGCTGAGTGCCTGAGTACCAGACCCTTTGCTGGGCCTTGAGGGTCAGGGTGTACAGGGCCTTCTCTGCCCTGGAAGAGCCCCAGCCTCGTGGTGGAGACCAATCTTACAGAGTCACAAAATCATGTGGAAAGATGGGTTTTTAGGGCACAACAGGCCTGGGTAGAGAGCCCAGCTGTGCGGCGTCCCAGCCTGATGGCCCTGGGCAAGCAATGTAATCTTCCCGACTCTTGCTCTCTCCCCAGGTCACTGCATCTCCCTGCTGCTGGACCCACAGAGGAAGCAGAGCCACATCCCTTTCCGGGACAGCAAGCTCACCAAGTTGCTGGCGGACTCACTGGGAGGGCGTGGGGTCACCCTCATGGTACTTAAGCAGAGCCTGGCAGGGAGGGTTGGGTCTTGAGGAAGGGGGCCCCAGAGAGGAGCACTCAGGGGGAGTGCATCCCCCAGGTGGCCTGCGTGTCCCCCTCAGCCCAGTGCCTTCCTGAGACTCTCAGCACCCTGCGATATGCAAGCCGAGCTCAGCGGGTCACCACCCGCCCACAGGCCCCCAAGGTGAGTACAGGCAGGCACAGGCCGAGGGACAGGCGTGAAGATGCTAGGGGATCCGGCGGTAGCTGGAGCCTGAGTCTCTTGCTTGAAGCCTTGGACTGGGTCAAAGTTGGGATTAGGGTTGGAATCCTGGAAATGGTGTCATGGTTGTGTAGGGTGAGGTCAGGGGCCCAGCCAGGGTCATGCCAGGGTTAGGGCAGGTCTAGGGTTGGAGTCTAAGTTGGGATATACTTCAAGGTCTAGCCAGGGTCCCGGTTGGGATCATGGTTAAGTGGGAGTTGGGTCTTATTTGGAGTCACTATCTGGCCCAGGGTTTGGACAGAACTGAGTTTGGGTTGAACTTAGAGACCAGCTCAGAGTGGGGCCCTCCAGGACAGTGCAGTTAGGACAAGGTGCCCCTCCAGGTGGTTGCAGCCTTGTGCCAAGAGGCAAGGCTGATGAGTGAAGCATGGGCTGGATGTTAGGCCCCAGTTACTTCCCATACCCGGAAGGCCTTGTGAAGTGCACAACTTGTACAACCGTAAAGGTGGCTCTGGGCCTCTTTCCCTACAGTCTTCTGTGGCAAAGCATCCCCAGCGTTTGGAGACGGAGATGCTGCAGCTCCAGGAGGAGAACCATCGCCTGCAGTCCCAGCTGGACCAATTGGACTGCAAGGGTATGTGCTCCCTGGGGGCAGGGCAGGGTGGGAATAGGGCCTGGGGCTCCTGTGCATCCACCACTGCCTGCTTCCCTGCAACCCCAGGGCTCAGTGGCAGCCGGGTAGCCTGGGCCCAGCGGAACCTGTACAAGATGCTACAGGAGTTCATGCTGGAGAATGAGAGGCTCAGGTAGGGCCCAGCTCACAGCCAGAGGGACGCTGCCCACAGCCCTCACTACTAGGCTGCTTCTGCCAAGCTGCCTCCTTGCCCTGTCTCTGGCACCCCTATGTCCCCACCTGCTTCCTGGGCTGGTGCTGTGCTGTAATGAGGAGGAGCTGACTGATGCCCCCACCAGCCCCACCGCCTACCCCTTCTTGGCTCATGCTCTCTCCCAGGAAAGAAAAGAGCCAGCTGCAGAGTAGCCGCGACCTGGCCCGGAATGAGCAGCGCATCCTGGCCCAGCAGGTCCGTGAACTAGAGAGGTGAGCAGAGCCACCAGCCTGGAGCCAGGCCTCCAAGTGGGGGGCAGCTGGGAGAAGGCATGGCTGAATGGAATGGTTGAGGCTGGCCTCTAGATTCAGACCAGCTAGGTTCAGTTTCCAGCTCTGCCACCTACCAGCTGTATCACCTGGGGCAAGTCACTTAACTTCTCACTGCCTGGGGTTCCTCTTCTGTCGAACGGGGGTCATCGTCATGCCTACTTTACAGGCTTGTTTTAAAGATCAGAGAGAATGAGTTAACATGTTCTCAAGGTCCCACTGAGAACGGGACCTGGAACCTGGTAAAGGGTCCAGGAATATTTGCTGGGAAGGGGAGCTGAAGGCCAGCCTGGCGGTAGGGTTGGGGGCTGCGGCATAGACCCTACTGTTCTTTCTAGGCGCCTCCTCTCTGCCTGCCACCGTCGCCAGCCAGGCCCTGGCCTGGCCCCATCGTGTCCCTGCTTGATGGCCCCAGCTCCCCCTTGCCACGTGAGTCTCACTGCCCAGCCTGGAGGGGTGACAAGTAGGGACATCGTGAAGCCTCTGACGCACACTTTTGCAGGCACTGCCACCCCTCTGCTCCTGCCCCTGCTGCCACGTCTGCCCGCTGTGTCAAGTGCCCCTGGCCCACTGGGCCTGCCTGCCAAGGGAGCGCCACCTGTCCCAGGTAGGAAAGGTCAAGGTGGGAGGGAGGGAAGGCTGGGAAAAGTGGAGACCTTGATCTAGACGTCATCAATCCAGAGCCCCAGGGATTCCAGGGCTCCAGGCTGGATCATGGAGTGAATGGCTGGCTTAGCACTTCCTCTGCCTGGGTTTGAATAGCTGTTAGCCTCACCTCCCTCCTCCCACCCTACCCTCCTTTAGGAATTCATTCTGTCATTCACGTACTCATTCACATACCTACCATTTACGTATTTACTGAATCGTGCATGCACTCACTCCTTCAGTAACTCCCCAGGCTTCTTGCTCTGTGCCAGCCTCTCTTCTGGGCTCTGAGGATTTAGAAATAGACCACCACTGTTCCTGCTCTCAGGAGGCTTCTAGTCCCAGGAGAGGACATTAGAAGAACACCTGCTACACACAGAAGGCGGCAACCAAGACCTTACCCCTTTGTGCCATGCTGACATTCTTGGTACCCTGTGGGGTAGGCATGGCCGGGAGTCATGGCTAGCACCAGGTAAGTGGGACGCAGGCAGAACTGAGGTCACCCAGCGTGGGCTCTGGTCTTTCCTACAGGTGTTGGGCCCTGAGGCCTCAGGTGGCAGGCCCCCATCTGCCCGACCCCCACCCTGGGCACCCCCATGCAGCCCTGGCTCTGCCAAGTGCCCAAGAGAGAGGTGGGTCCCGCCCTGGGGTGCTGGGGCTGGAGGGGGGTGGTCTGGGGAACTCAAAGGCTCACCTCCCATCTCCCACTCACCCTGGCCCAGGAGTCACAGTGACTGGACTCAGATCCGAGTCCTGGCGGAGATGGTGACGGAGGAGGAGGTGGTACCTTCTGCACCGCCCCTGCCTGTGAGGCCCCCGAGCACATCACCAGGGCTGAGAGGTGACAAAGGGAGAGAGGGAGGGGCCCTAATGTTCTCTGTGATCTTGACGCAGAACCCACCCTCCCCAGGCCTCTGTCCTATCTCTGAAATGGGGTGGGTGTTGAGAGGTGATTTCTAAGATCTTTCTGCTTCCCAAACTTGGAATTCTCTTTTTAGGACCACCTGCATGCCCAGATGTATGTTGGAGCCCATGGTGTATGGGGGTGGGGTGGGGGAAGAGTAGAGGATACCAACCCCCTGAGGCTTCTGCAGAGGATATTGGCACCCAGATGGACGGGGGTGAGGAAGGGCCCTGGGGAGGGCAGGCCTTCAGTCTCACTGCTCCTTAGGTGGGGCCGGGGTTCCAAACCTGGCCCAGAGACTGGAGGCTCTCAGAGATCAGATTGGCAGCTCCCTGAGACGTGGCCGCAGCCAGCCACCCTGCAGCAAGGGGTTACGGAGCCCAAGCCAAGTCCTTCCTCCCCATTGAAGGCCAAGAGGGAACCCAGGAGACTGCTGTGTGACCTCAGACCGGGCTCTACGCTCTTGGGCTTCAGTCTCCCCATCTGCTGAATGGAGACAGCAGCTACGGTTCAACCTGCAGCTGGGCTAGAGGCAGGAACTGGGGGTATATTTAGGGGAGCAGGGGGATTCAGCATGAAATAAATGAATAAAGAGAGGCATCCGCTCCAAGTCTGGTCGGTTCCATCCTCTGGGGTCGTCAGTCACTTCCTCGTGGGGAATTAGAGACAGGAAGGGCTAGGCCTCTTGGCACAGGTGTGTGTCCCCTTCTGGTCTGGAATATCCCAAGCACCCATCTCCTTTCATGTATTATACAAGTTTTGATTAAGCAACTACCACATGCCGTTGGGTAGGGCAGGGGGAAATTGAATGACAAGCGTCTCCATGAAGGAGGCATGAGGGAAAGTGATTTGGTCTGGAGCACTTTGAGATGGGCGGGTAAGGGGCTCACTCACTCTGTGTCACCATGGGTCCTGGTGCTGGTGGGGATGAGGAGGCCTGGCTTCTTGTGCCACAGATCTGTGCTGGGACTCTGGGTAAGCCTTGTCCCCTCTCTGGACCACTCTAGTTTTCAGTCAATTAAGTAGGGGACACGGCTTCCTGTCCCATTGAGTTCTAGAGAGGGTCAAGGCTGTGAGCAATATCTGATTTATGTCATAAGTGCCCAGTAAAATCCTGTATTAATCTATTCTCAGCACTGCTGTAAAGAACCACCTGAGACTGGGTAATTTATGAGGAAAAGAGATTTGACTCACAGCTCTGCAGGCTGTACAGGAAGCATGGCTGGGAGGCCTCAAGAAACTTACAATCATGGCAGCAGGTGAAGGGGAGTCAGGCACGTCTTACCATGGAGGAGCAGGAGAGAGAGAGAATGAAGGGGGAGGTGCTACACACTTTCAAACCACCAGATCTCATAAGAACTCACTATCATAAGAACACCCAGGGGGAAATCTGCCCCCAAGATCTAATCACCTCCCACCAGGTCCCTCCCCCAATATTAGAGATTACAATTCAATATGAGATTTGGGTGGGGACACAGAGCCAAACCATATCAGATGTGGCAGGTCTATGATTATGGAGAAGTCCAAGTATGACATGAGGAATTGGGGTGAGGAGGGAAAGGGCCCATTCCAGAAAGAGCTATGAGGCTAACATAACTCTCCCACTTATAGCAAGGGAAACTGAGGCCCACATAATTCATTCATTTGTTCATTCATTCATTCAACAAACTGGTGGCTGGATGCCTGTAATCCCAATACTTTGGAAGGACGAGGTGAGAGGATTGCTTGAGCCCAGGAGTTTGGGACCAGGCTGGTAAACATAGTAAGACCCTTTCTCTACTAAAAAATAAAAAAGTAACTGGGCATGATGGCACACACCTACAGTCCCAGCTACTCAGAGGGCTGAGGCAGAAGATCACTTGAAAACAAGTGGCTGAGACTGCAGTGAGCCATGATCACACCACTGCACTCCAAAACATCACCGCTGGCTGGAAAACACTGCTGTGATCGCACCACTGCACTCCCAAACACCACCACTGGCTGGAAAACACTGCTGTGATCACACCACTGCACTCCCAAACACCACTGGCTGGAAAACACTGCTGTGATCGCACCACTGCACTCCCAAACACCACCACTGGCTGGAAAAACTGCCGTGATCACACCACCGCATCCCAAACACCACTGGGTAGAAAACACTGCCGTGATCACACCGCTGCACTCCCAAACACCACTGACTGGAAAACACTGCTGTGATCACACCACTGCACTCCCAAATACCACTGGCTAGAAAACACTGCCATGATCACACCACAGCATCCCAAACACCACTGGCTGGAAAACACTGCTGTGATCACACCACTGCACTCCAGCCTCAAAAAACAAAGTAAAACACACTGGCATCAACTGCAAATCAAGCTATAAGGTGACAATTAAGACAAACAAGGGCCAAGGTGGCTTTTCCAGGGCGCTCGTGGTCTGGTGGGGGACAGTCAGGCATTTACAACTCACATGGCCTAGGGGAAGCCCAACCCAATGTGGAGGCACAATGGAAGGTCACTTCATCTGTCACCTTCTGAGTCTGGGTAATTTATGAGGAAAGAGGTTTGAGGGGGTCAGGGAAGGTTTACCACAGAGGCCATGACTAAGGCTTGGAGGGTAGACAGCATTTGGTCCACGGGAAGTGGAGGGGCTGTGAGGGCAAAGCTACAGACCCCTGAGGTTCCAAAGGTGGTCAGGGCCAGGAAGTGCAGGGCCTTTCAGGACACACTCAGAGTTTGGGCTTATGACAAGGGCAGAGGGGAGCCATGGAAGGGTCTGGAGGCATCACCAGCCTAGATTTGTATTCAGGTCATGCTGGCCACCTGTGGGAGATAGCCTGACTGGCAAGGATGAGCTGGAGACGGGGGACTACAAAGAGACCGGCACAGAGGAGATGACGCCTCAGTCAGCAGTGCCCGAGCTGCACCTCAGGCTGGGCATCGCCTAGACCCGCGCCCTGGACTTGAGCAAGTTCTGGGCAGGCCAGCCTTAGCCACAGGCTTGGGGATCCCGTGGGAGGGAGCAGGCTGAGGCCAGAGGGCCAGCCAGGGAGCAGCTGGGGCTGCTAGAGGGAGGCCACAGCCATCATCTGGAAGAGAACTCAGACTGGCCACCATGCTCCTCAGACCTGGCCTGAGGAAATCAGAATCCCTTCACCCCACCACACTCCCCAGAGCAGGACCGAGCAAGCGAAGACTCAGTGCTCTCTCAGTCATCATTCTGGAAAGTAGCTCTGGGAATGTACCTTCTCTTTCCCAGCAGAGTGAGGACCCAAAGATAACAGCAAGGTGTCTCAGGGAGACTTGAGAGTGCTGTGTGACTTGGGGTAGGCTGCTGGGCCTCTCTGGGTCTCCCGTACTGCAGGCCCCTGGTTCCTGAGTCTGTGCAGGGCTGGTCCCTGAAGGTGGGACTGGTGGGGTCCATTTGGGTTAGAGCACCTGTGGTCAGAAATTGATAGACAACACTTGCGACTGGGCATTAGAGGTTTTCCACAGTGGTTGCTTCCTGGAAAGCCAGAATCTGTGGAGACAGAGCCCAGAGACAGAAGCTGACAGCCAGATGCCACAGACAGCCGGACCAGGCAGAGCAGGCTGTGGTTAAGCCCACAGATTGAGCCACCCAAGCTCAAACCCATGGCTGATCCTGGGCTAGTGACTCAACTGCTCTGAGCCCAAGTCACTTATACCTAGAATGAACACAAAACACTACCCCCTTACAAAACTGCCTTGCAGGTGAAATTCCCTGACACGTGGAAAGAGTGGAGCATACAGCTTTGCCAGTTGCAGACAGTTTCACCAAAAGCAACCTTTAGTCAACATGACAATTTGATGGAATTGACAATCAGGTTAAAACAATGCATTTAATATATGTTGATTAGAACTGTTTAAGAACAGAGCCTGGCATTAGAGCTAAATAAATGTTGGTTGTCATTGCTGTTATCATTACGCATGGATGCTTTCACCGCAAGCATTCTATGAGAACCTGCTTTCTTTGGGCTAGCACTGAATAAAGCATAGGACTTTTACCCTCATGAAACACAGACAATAAACAAGAAAGAGAGCAAAATACATAGCATGTCAGATGGTGATAAATGCTGTGGAGCAAAATAGAGCAGGAGTGTGTGCTCTTGTCAGGGCAGGGCTACAGTCCTAAGCCGGGAGTTCTGGTGGAGGCGATGGGTAATGTTTGTACAGACACCCGAGCAGGGAGGGTGAGCCTGATGAATGCCCTAACGTCTTTATTTTCTAATATTGGTCATTTCCATGCCACGTCAGCGTGGGTGGTGCTGTGGGTTCGCGCCTGGGCTCCTCCCCACTCCCCAGAACACTTATCTCACTGCATTGTGGGCCTGCTTGCTGGGAGGTGCTCAGCCCCAGGCAGGGGAGGTCCCTGGCACCAAGCGTCAGAGTGTGAGCGCTTTCCTTAATTGCCTTGAGAAGATGGAGGGGGACCCCCCGGGGGGACCCTGGCCTCACTGGTTGATTCGTGTTTGGATGATGCCTGCTGGAGCCAGCCACGATTTTCCAGTTTCCTGGTTCCAGTTCACACTCCAGCTCAGCAAAACCCCAGTGCCTTCTCCAGAGAGAGACAGAGGACTCAAGGAGACTGGTCTTCACTACCCTTGACTCATAAGCCATGCATCCATCTGTCAGTCAGTGGCATGGTTTGGCTGTGTCCCCACCCAAATCTCATCTTGAATTGTAGCTCCCATAATTCCCATGTATCGTGGGAGGGACCAAGTGGTAGGTAATTGAATCAGGGGGCTGGGTTTTTCCATGTTGTTCTCATGATAGTGAATGAATCTCATGAGATCTGATGGTTTTATGAAGGGCAGTTCCCCTGCCCAAGTTCTCTTGCCTGCCACCATGTATGACGTGCCTTTGTTCCTCATTCACCTTCTGCCATGATGGTGAGACCTCCCTAGCCACGTAGAGCTGTGAGTCCATTAGATCTCTTTTTCCTTATACATTACTCAGTCTTGGGTATGTCTTCATTACCAGCACGAGTCAGACTAATACACTCAGCCTCCTCCCTCTAGAACTGCCACTCTTCCAGGATCCCTAAACCCCGGGGGAATTCCACGGGATCCTGGGGACGTATCAAGACCCTTCAAATGCATTTGGCACTTACGAAGAACATGTGGACTCGGAAGGACACTTTAGAAGCCCTGCAAGCTACAGGCCTTCTGTAGATTGCCGGCACTTGGGGGCAGTTCCCTGAACCCTGAAACATGGTAATAGTTCTCAAGAACTGTCAAAAGAAGGTCTCTGCTACCTCGGAACATTAGAATTGGGGGAAGCTCTTGGAAATCCTGAGGTACTGCAGGAATTTCCCAGGATTCCAAACCCCTAGAAGATCTGTCTGAAATTTTAAAACACTGTAGTCAAGTCAGGAGGGATTTTCTGGAATCTGGCTGGATGGGGCTGCAGGGGGGAAGGGATATTCGTTAGAGTTCTGAAGGCCATTGTGGGCTTTTAGAGTGCTGGCTGCCCAGATCCTCAGTTGAGTTTGCCAGATCCTTGAGGATCCGAACTCTCAGCCCCCTCTCTCTGCACGATGGGGAGCACGGTGGGAAGGGTTGCAGCTGGACGGCGCAAGCTTCCGGAAGAGACCTGTGGACACTTGTAC